AAAATATGGATTAATGTGGAGAGACCTGAATATATCATCTGCTCTTTGGAGCTAGTCCCTAAGATTCATCAAATAAACAATAAGATAATGTTTTGAGAAGCACTGACTTTTTTGGGTGTTGAATGTCATGAGGAGGCTATTGCAGCAGTAGTAAGCTAAGGAGAAATGGCTGTTGGCTGTGTCGGTACGATGTAGCGAGTAGAGAGAGAGACATCAGTCATCCATCCAGCCATGTTACCACCAAGTTGAGAGCTAGTGCATTGCTTAGGGTTTTGGATGACTTTAAGATAAAGGATTTTGGTATGAGTGACAGGCTGATAAAACACAAAAAGTGTTAATTTAAATCTGTAGTTGAGGACCTGATATTTTCCCAAAGAGACTTGTTCCATTTAATTTTTTTTGTTGTTTTTTTATATGGCTATTAAGTATATTTTCTGTCCCTTCAGATGTGATTCATGGCATCACAATTGACTTTTTCTCCCACTGGAAGAATTGGGGTACCAACTTTTAAGATTTGGTGTTTTCTCCCTTTTCAAAGTAGAGCAGACATAACAGGAATTTTTTGTGTCTGTTTTGATCCAATAAAAAAGAATAAAATCACCTGCACCCTCCGTCCCTCAACAGATGAAATAGTAAACAAATCATAATATTCAGTACCTGGCTGTTGATTATCACTTACCAGAACAACCATGTTAAAAGGGACAGAGCACATAACTCAGCTTAAATAAAACTGAACTTTATATTGCTGGAATAGTATTTTTTAATATCTGCTAAAATGGAAAAATAGTTACTCAAATGTAAATATGCTTGGGTAGCTTCACTTAAAAATATTATATAATGTTGGTGAATTCTGGAAGGGTTATTATAAATGTTTTTGTGATATCCTGTAGAACATATGCTGTGCCTATTCCTTTTTTCTTTTTTAATTAATCTTTTGTTTAGACTAGGACTTGTTTAAACCCCTATCCCCACCTCCCCAACCCACCACCAACCAAATACACATCAAAACAAAACATCCACATCTGTGTGGAAAATGTTCCAATAATGGACCACAACTATTTGGTAAGTTGCTCCTGTGACTAACTTGTGCCTTTGTTTAAAAAACAAACCAAAACAAAAAGGAACTGTAATATCATCATTTAAGGACTAGGGATGTCAGACTTCAGCTTCTAGTCGCTGATACATGTTGTTTTTTTAGAGTGAAGATTTTTTTATTAAACTTGTCTTCCTTGTTTGAGTGAGATTACCCCTTCACCTTACTTTGAACTCAGATTATCTTTTCATTAGCCTGTGGAACTTAAATTTGTTAATTGCTTGTCTGGAACTTCAGTTTTTCATCATTGTGAAAATTGAAACTATTCCAGTGGCAGTTGCAATGCTGCAACGTGCGGAGGTAATAGCTGTTGGTACTTGATGTTCTCTTGTCCTGACCACGTGGGTTACGTTATTTCCCTGGGGACTTATTTCATGCTGTCCCTTATTGCAGCTCAAGCCTGCTTTCTTTTCTTTTTTTTCTTTTTTTTTGTTTTGTTTAATTTGATAGTAGTATTGGTGAGACTTAATTGCAGAATATTCTGTGGACATGGAAAGATTAGTATAAACATCTCTCTACCTTTTACTACTTTGAGATGCTGTTGCCCTACAAATGAAGTGGTTTGGATCATAGTAAACTTTCAAAAAAGCCATACAAGGGTGTTCCAGGTTTTCTTAATTCATTCAACAGAACAAGTTTTTTCTTGTTTTTTCCTTGCCAACCGCACTTACTGATTGTTTATTATATGATTTGTAGATTGTAAATTGTGTAATGTTGGAGGCATTAATCTTAAAGCAGGATTTTTGTGAGGAATTTTCACATTTCTTGGTTGAGACAGTGCGATTTGGACGGAAATAATGTATGTCTGGAGGTGATTGATACCTAGTATTAGAGGAGACAAGCAGAGAGATACTGCTCTGTGGCATTTTGGAAAGTCTCAAGGAGCTCTAGCCTGTGTTGAACTGTATCAACTTTTTGGGGCAGCAGTTAATGTGGAGGCTGTACTTGGAGAATTACACTGGCTCTTCCTCATTAGACATGTGCCATAGGCATATTTTGGTTACGTTTATTGATGATAATGACTGTTGGATGCTTCTAAATTTACTGACTCTGCAGAGTCAAGTTGCAATAGATTTTCTGGTAAATTCAATCTTAAAATCATTTGGTTGATTTTTTTTTTTTTTTTATCCCTGTATCCCACTGAAAGCTGTGCAATGGAATATCTACCACTGAAGGAAATAACCTGCAGCGTTTTATTTGAGAGTTGTATTTGAGTTCAGCCAGCCAGACTAGAAAATGCTTATTTTTACTCATAAACTGAAGGCATTTGAACTGAGAACTAAGACCAAGTGTTAATCCATGGAATGACTAATTTCGACATAGGGATTTTTTTAATTATAGTATGGTTTGTCTTTAGGTCAATATTTATTTATGCTTTTTTTACAGAGAACTCTACGATCTATTGCTTATCTATTCTCTGGGCCTTGATGGAGGAAACTTGAGAATTTGTACATTTAAATTGAGATTCTCAACTGTTCTTTACTTGCCTCGGGCTGTACGCTGGTTTTGTTATAGTACTGTGAGTTTTAAAAGGGAAAAGGTTATGTTTAATTTATTTCAAACCTTCCTCAGCTGCCTTTACATTGTATTTGCAATCGCTTCAGGTATGATTTGCTTGTGGCTGTTGCTGGAGGAGGTCACAGGACACCTCCATTGTTTCTTTTGTCTGGAATGTCTCACCATTGACTCTGCTAATTGCTGTCTAAATGTAAAAATAAACTAGTGACTCTTTAAAAGGTTTCAGCTTGTTCTCTGTCCTTACTTATGTGTTGCTTCTGACAAAACTGGAAGATTCATTGGCCTGTGATGCTATTCATAAGCCTGCAATAAAGGATTCTTTCAGTCTTCCTCTCGTTTTCTTTCAGCAGGGCTCAGTGTTCGTATATACGCTCTTCAATCTTTCTTTGATTTGTAAGTGATAGCAGAAGTTGTGTGCCTCTTAACAGTAAGCAAATGGTGAGATAAAATCTAGGTTTTCCCATGATAATTATAATCCTGGCTTCGTTGAGCATTCAATGAAGGCTACCAATCAAGCCTGATGTTAGTGCCTTCTTGCAGAGTGAGTATCTGCTTTCAGGGTTACTTAAACTCCTGTTGTGTCAATTATTTCCTCCTCCATACTTTTAAGTTGCAGGTGACTTAGAATTTGGGGGCTTCTTTTTGGAGTAGAAGCAAACTAGAGTGGAAGATTCATGTCTGTTTAACCTATTCCTAGAAAGTACAGGTTTGTGTTGGTTAGGAAAACATGTTTGGGTTCCACGGTCTGCTGTACAGATGAATCTGCTTTGTCATCCCTTCTCATTGAACCCTCAGCAGGCTGTTCTTGTGATGTGACTCTTTCAGTCCCTTAGGACTAAGACTTCCAGACAGTTTTAAGCACAGCTACCTTATTCCGTATCGTTTTTGTGCCAACATGGTTTTTGTTCTCTCCCCACTGCTTATCTTCATCTGTGGACAGACAACAGACATATCTCAATTGCCATCTCTTTGGGTTTTTATTTTCTCTATCGACCTCTTCCAAAAATACATTCTTCATCCTAACAATTGCTGCGATTCGAGTTCTGTAGCCTTACTAGAAGAGTTCTAAAAGGAAAGATATGAATGCATGGAGTCGTGGTTACAGCATTTATTTTTGTGGATTACTGTCAACCCTTTGCACCTCTTGTTTAACTATTAGCACACTTCACAACTAGTTTGGTTAAGGGACAGTCTGTATTGCCTTCTAGAATTGAAGGCTTTCTTTGGTTTGGTCCTGAGCAGTATTTGTGGCTTGTTAGTAGTGAAGATATCTGCTATTTCTATTTTATGTGAATGCTTGAGGAAAGGTAATTGGATTTCTCTTTGCTTCCACTATGAGTTTATAGTGCAAGTAGCATAAATAAAACATCAGGATTGTCTCTCAGCTGTATATTTGAGAATGCATTCTGAAGCATAACATTATGTAAAAGCTTGAAATTGGATTTCTTCTTTCCCTGTGGAGGTTAAAAAGCCCAGTAAAATCTTGGAGCAGGTACTTGGCTTCAGGCCAAGACACCAGGCCTGAAATGCTGGCTGCAGTGCTTCTAGGCCTCCTAAAATCTGACTGCCCTAAATGCTCGGCCTCAAAAGGAAATTTAAACTCGGCTTGAAAAGATTACTCCTTGAAATTATTAATTCCTCTGGGTCTAGTATTTTTCACGTAGAAAGCATGCCTAAAGGCTCTGCTTTTGTATGACAAACTATTTGAAAACCTGGAGTGGCTTGACAAGAAAGTAAATTAATAATGAGACGGCCGAGGTGAGCTGTCCTTGATTGTAGGAAAGCAAGGGAAGCACCAGCATTATATCTGCTATGCAAATACAGCACATTTAATGTGTTTCTGTTGATTACATCTCACTGCTATTAATGCATTAGTGTAGCCTGTGAACTTAATGTGAAAGATTTTGCAGCTGACAAATTAGGTCTTCGGTCTAAGATACTCACAAAAGATTTTTAAGTTTAGACTATGTGAAGATAGTTATGTGAGGTTTCTAGTGTATATGTGCATCCAGGAATATGCAAATCATACCCTTTTTCCCTGTTTCTTACTGAAGGTGTGTAATTTGAATTTCAAGAGATGAGAGCCTACTACAGAGACAAAATAAGAGCAGAGGGTAATAGGAGTAAGCAAATATTAACTGTGTATGGTTAATATGCTGAGTTGTTGCCTACAGTTCCAATGTAATAGAAACAAAACTTGTCTGAGTTAAATAAGCTTATGTTGGATTATGTAACAGATAAATATTAGCTTTTCATATTATAAGTACTGGGATTTCCTTGTAACTCCTCCTTTTATCCTCTTAATAGAGCTTACGTAAGAGTAATATGAAACGTGCATGTGACAATTAGTTTTCCGTTCCTACTTAATTGTAAAATATTTGCATTTCAGCTCAAATCAAAGACAAAATTAAAGAAAGGGAAAAGAAGCAAAAAGAGAAGAAGAAGCACAAAATAATGAATGAAATCAAGAAAGAAAATGGAGAGATCAAATTATTGCAGAAAGGTAGGTTCAAACTATGTAGTGGTATTTCATTCTATTTCTTTAAAATCTCTGTAATTTGATTTGGTACTGAGTTTTAATACTATGTTTTTCATTTAACTTAAGTGCCATTTTCCCTCATTAGTTGGTATGAGGGTTGCAAATTAAAAACTGACTATAAATGTTAATTTTTTTTTTTCAACTGTATTAGGTACTGGGGATTATAACTGTCACCACAATATTGCTTATACAGTAGTAGTGAAGGCTAGTATTTTAGGGAATAATATTGGTGGTACTGGTGATACTGGTGAACTGCATCTTCTCTGCAGTTACTGAAGAAGGTTATTTTATATAGTGTGGAGAATAAAAATGAATCCATGTCATGTTTTATATCTAACATTGAATACACAAAATTGAATAACTAAGGAGTCAAAATTCAGGGACTTCGTCAAATACTAAAAAATTCTGTGTAACAGGCAGTCTTCATTCTAATTTCTTCAACTTCATTTACTGTAATGGAATGTAATGAAGATTGTATTCTCACTTTTGCCTGTACATGTACTGAATCTTACAATTGTACAGTAGTTGAGGTTGGAAGGGACCTAGTCCAATGCTGCTACTCAAAGTAGGGTCACCTAGAGCATGTTGCCCAGGACTATCAGAGTGTGTATCTCCAAGATCCATAATCTCTCTGGAGAAACAGTATCAGTGTTTGACCACTCTTACAGTAAAAACACTGTTGTCTTATGTTTAAAAGGATTTATTTTATTTTGATTTGTACCCTTTACCTCTTGTGCTGTCACTGGATTACCTCTGATAATAGTACTGTGTCTGGGGAAGAGTAACAGCTAGTACTGGTACATACTGGAGGCTGACCAGCTGGAAAGCAGCTTTGCTGAGAGGGACCTTGGGGCCTGGCAGACAACAAGCTTACTGCCTGTGAGCCAGCAGGGCACCTTCATGGCAAAAGAAAATATTCCTGGGCTATAGTAGGAAGAGCATTTCCAGCAGGTTGAGGGAGATCATCCTTCTCCTCTACACGGCACTGCTAAGGCTGCCTCTGGGGTACTGTGTCCAATTCTGGGCTTCCCAGTATGAGACAGGTATAGGCTTACTGGATTGAGACCATCATGGGCCTGTTGTCAAAGGACAAGGGGTAATGGCTTTCAAGTGAAAGAGGGTAGATTCAGACTAGATATAAGGAAGAAATTTATTATGATGAGGGTAGTGAATCACTGGAACAGGTTGCCCAGAAAGGCAGTAGATTTCCCATCCCTGAAAACATTCAAGCAGCCTGATCTAGTTGAAGATGTTTGTGCTCATTGCAAGGGAGTTGGACTAGATGGCCTTTAAAGGCTTATTCCAACCCAAGCTATTCTATGATTCTATTCTGTGATCTTTCCTGTGAGGAAAGGCTGAGAGAGCTGGGACTGATCAGCGTGGAGAAGAGGCTCAGGGCATCTCATTGATGTGTATAAATGGGGGGGATGAAGAAGATGGAGCCAGACTCTTCTCGGCAGTGACAAGACAGGAGGCAACAGATACATTATTAAATTAAACCATGTAAAATTCTGTCTGAATGTAAGCAAAACACTTTATTACTCTGAGGGTGGTTGAGTACTGGCACAGGTTGCCTACAGACATTGTAAAACCTGACCAGACATGGTCCGGGGCAACCTGCTGTAGGTCTATGTCCTCCTCCATCAGGCTGCTGTCCAGCAGGATGTTGCTTGTTTAAGTAGACTAAATATATTTTTATCTGTTATTTTCAGACTCTGCTTTTGAAGTTGGGAACAAATTTCTGATATATTTTTCTGTTGTCTTGTCTGCGGTAGGATTTAATTTACAAACATAAAATTGAAACCCCCAAAACAGAATGTTGCCTTCAGCACCTTTATATGAGGTCAGAGGCATGGAACGCTGTAATTACTAAATCACACATTACATGCTACGCACGGCTCCAAGTAACTGTATTAGCAACTATGAAAGCTTAAAAGCTGTGTTGATCAGATCTCAAGGTATCAGCTTAGACCATGAGGGATGTGTAAGCTGGTGACTGACTTCCTGTGAAAAGAACAGATGTGGCTTGTCTTTGCTGAGCATGAAAGGAAGTTGGTGGTTGAGATATTTAACTGCCTCAACAGTGAGGTTCTTCACGTTTTGTTTGCATACCGGCCTTTTTTTTTTTTTTACCCTGTGTCCTGTTTCTGTTGCTGTTCAGCAGATAAGGTGGAAGCTGCAGAGACAGCAAGTCTTGTTATGCAGATCTAATAAATGATACTTAATGAGGGTATTAGGCCTCAAATGGTACTTTATTTTAAAGTTAATATAAAAAAGCGTATGCACAGGGGCTGTGTTAGAACATCTTGGCTGTTCTGAGCTGATGTAGTAGCAGGGTAGGTTATTCCCAGAAAGAACACTGCTACAACTGCAACCTTATCCCGATTTCGTATATCTGATGTGTAATCGGTCAAGTATCATGTTTTAGGTTTTCTTTAAGGTGTTGGTTGGAAGTGTTTCATAGAAGCTATGTTTGGTTTGCCAGTATTCTGTAAAATTGATTCGTATTTCAGGGAAAGGAGGAAGTGTATCAGGAGTGTGGTTTGAGAACAGGCAGATCCTCTCCACTGCACTTGTATCCTGTTCAGAATTGCAGCTCTGGAAGTCTTCTGTGGGCTTCCAAAATCTGACTGGATATGCTTGTATGTGTGTTGAAGTTTGTAAAACGTCTCCTGATTCCTTCTGCTGAACTGCCTGTACTGAGGAGCCTGGGAGCTGAGGGCAAGACAGCAAGGGCAAAAGTGCTTTAAGATGCAACTTCTTTTATGTATCGGTGGTCAGTACCTCTGTGACATGCTCAAAGATTATTCTAAGGGTATCTTCTCACTGTGGAACAAAAGTTAAGGTGCAAGCCATTTTTTTGTGAGCTCAAAATTCACTTTGTGGGCTTAGGAACAAAGGTTTGGAGCTAGTCTACTTTCCTTTTTTTTTGCAGTTTTGGTTTTGTGGATGGTTTTTGTGTGTGTGTTAAGAAGCTACAGTGCTCTAAAGACAGCTTGTTTCCTCCTCCTAGGCATTAGATCCATATCTTGTCACAAAATGTTACTCTGACCATCTACTGAATGCTTTTCTTCTTAGATTGAGAATATTATTAATGTTTTGGTGTTTGTAATTTTTGAGTTTTCTTCTGTTTGTGGCTTACTTCCATTGAGAAGGTGGTGGTAATAACCTACCTGACTAGTAAAACTAGCTGTCCGAGATAGAAGGTGGCTGGTTATAGAAAAGAGGTCAGTACCGAGGAAACGATAGCTTTTAGAATCACAGAATCATTTGTGCTGGAAGACACCTTTAAGATCATCGAGTGTGACCTAACCTAGCACTACCAAGTTACCATTAAACCATGTCCCTCAGCACTACATCTACCTGTCTTTTAAATACCTCCAGGGATGGTGACACAACCACTTCCTTGGGCAGCCTGTTCCAATGCTTGACAACTCTTTCGATGAAGTATTTCCTAACATCTATCTTAAACCTCCCGTGGCACAACTTGAGGCTGTTTACTTGGGAGAAGAGACTGACTACAACCTTCTTTCTGGCAAAGAGCAATAAGGTTTCCTCTCAGCCTCCTTTTCTCCAGACTAAACAACCCCAGTTCCCTCACCCGCTCCACGTAAGGCTGCTTCTCCAGATCCCTCACCAGATTTGTTGCTCTTCTCTGGACCCGCTCCAGCACCTCAATGTCTTTCTTGTGGTGAAGGGCACCCAAAACTGAACATGGTATTCGAGGTGCAGCCTCACCAGTGCTGAGTACAGGGGGACAATCACTCCCCTAGTCCTGCTGGCCACGCTTTTGAGGGGGAGTTGGTGCATAAGCCTGATTTTTTTTTTTTTTTTTGCTTTGAGCTGAATGTGGAAGAGTTTACCTATATTAGAAGCTATGGTGTGTAAGCTGTTCATCTGCCTAAACTTGGGTTGCTGTTCTGTTGAAAGCAATGATACAACTTGCCCACGCTGGAGAAGGGCAACTCTTAAAAAGGATATTTCTGTAGTTTCTGAGGCTGCTAAAGGAAATGTGTTTGGCTCTTTCAGAAAGCCTGATGGTTTTTCTTATGCATCTAGAATGAAAGCTTTTTTGTCATCCTTTTGCACTTGCAGATGTATTCTCTGTAGAATAAAGCTATCTAATTGCCCCTTTTTCTCTCAGTCTGTTTTGCGGAAGAGCTCAGTTCTTGGAAAAAAGGTTCTTGGCACATGAATATTGTTAAAAAGTCAGGAAATATAAGTGTTTTAAACTTGCTTTTCGAAAAATCTGCATGATGAAAAAGTTACCTGCATGTTACGATCTTCCTGTGTTGCTCTGGTGGCTAAGAGACAGTTATCTTAACGAGCTAAACATAGTAAAGTCAATATATGTGCTTGTAGCAACTTTTATCACATCTTATGTTTGTATGCCTTTAAATGTCACTCTGAAGGTTTTGAATAGCTTTTCTCAGGGTGGTTGTGACTATTCAACTTCCAGGAGGGCTGAGACAACATTTTTTTGTTGTATTTAATGTATTTCAGGCTTGACTCTTCTGATGTTTAATATTTAAGCTTTCAAGCCTATAAATAGAACAAGGTAGCTGCCAGTTCTCAGTTGTCCTCCTGCTGCTTGGTTTGTTTCCTGGGCTGTGTACTGAGGCACCTTGAAGTTACGTGTGTGTTCAGCCCATGGGCTATTTGCTTTTCAGCCTGTTGGCACTTGATCTTGCTCATTCTCCTTAATTGCAGAGTGACTGCATTTTGTGTCTGATCAGAATTCCATGTGCGTTTTTAATCTCTATTAGGAAGTCAGTTGTTCTAATACTTTTGAACTATTTTATAATATGTTTTTCATTAACTCATCAAATTATAATATAAAATTATATTTATTGGAAAATATATTACAATAAAATTATAATACATGATGATGTGTTAAAATCAAAATATAAAATTCTGTCAGTTAAGCTTGTACCAGCCGGATACTTGAGGAGTTTTTAGGATCT